CGATGTTGCCAATGTCGGGATCAGTATTTTAAGAGACTTGGTCTTCAACAGCCAGCAGGTCTTGCTTGACACTGTGGTAGTAGACATCAGCGCCATAGTTCCAGGGAACAGCCTTGTCCAAGGAATATGGGATTGGCCCTGGCATGGTGATGATCAGAGGAGCCAACTTCGGAGCAGATGTAATCCTGACGGGTCTTTTGGTGGAGACCCTGAGAGGATTGGTGGAAATGGTTATGATTGAAACATCCTTACAAGGAACAGTCGGGACGAGAGTCTTTTGAAACAAAATCTCTCTATCATCCATCAGGCGCTGAACACCTGCCTTTAACAAATCACAACCAATCGTTAGAGATAAACATAAGTGGCAACCTTCGCCACAACCCGAAAATAAACCGCTTTCAACAAGTTTCACTTAACGGTCATGAGAGGATTAACAAGTTCCTCAACAGAAGTAACAAACATATCATCTTCAATAACATTAACACCACAACCGTGTTTGGGCATATGAGCAGTGATAACATTGGGAATCTCAGGAGCTTCAACAATCTCCTTTGCTTCAATAAGGTCTTGCACTTTGTTTTTCAAAGCCCAACAGTCATTGGTATCATGGCCTGGACTTTTTGAATGGTAAGCACAATGAGCATTTGGGTTGTAGCAAGGAGATGTGGTGTTGGGATTCTTAGGAGCTTCCCGCAAAGTTACCAGATTAGACTTCAGTAGATGAGGCAAAACTTGGGATAAAGTCATATTTATCCTGGTAAATTGTCTTACAGGCCTTTCTGCTCTAGGATGATTGTTCCTTTGTTGAGCAGGTGCAGGTTTAGAAATCATAATATCCCTTACCACTGGACGACATTCAGTTCTGTCTTGATTTCGTTGATTATAAACAACACCGACCTTTTTTTTCCTAGGAAATGGCTTTCTTACTTTACTGGAGGATGCATCCTTTTGGATCTCACCACTCCTAATCCTAACTTCCACTCTTTCTCTTGTCAAAATCAATTCAATAAAGCCAGCTGAGGAGCTTCCAATCAGATGATTGAAAAATGGACCAGATAGGGTACCCAAAAACACATCCACTAACTCCCTATCAGATAGGGGGGTAGGACTCTTCCTGCTAAGTCCCTCCACTTCTAAGCATAGTCTTTAAAACCCTCGCTCGAACCCATATACATACTTTAGAGTTGTGTACGGGTGGGAGAAAGTTCTACATTATATTGATACTGCTTGTAGAAAGCAGCAGCCAGGTCTTCCCAATTACAAATGTTGGTCCATTCCAGCTGGTAGAACCATTCTAGTTGAGTTCTGGATAGACTATCTTGAAAGAAGTGGACCCATAAGTCCTTGTCAGTAGTGTGAGGTTGGATCTCCCTCACATAAGATCAAAGGTGCATCTTGGGACATGAAACCCCATCATATTTTGCAAACACCGACACCTTGAACTTATGCGGGATGACAACCCCAGAAACCAAACCCAGCTCTTTAAAATTCAGCCCAGGCACCTTCTAGATTTCCATTGCATATAGACGTTCTTCCAGTTGTTTGTATTTTTCGTCGACCAGAGGATATTACTTCTCATTATAGTCAGTCTCATTATCGTATTCCCTTGGACTGGGGTCTTCCTCTCTTGTCTCCCCTTCTTGATTATCTCCTTCTTTTGATGAAGATGTTAGCTCTACCACTTGCCTTAACGGTCCCTTGAACCTCCTTCCCAAATTTACCACACCAGCTGTCTTCCTTGGCTTCTTGGTCTTCTAATTAACAATAAGGGCTTTCAGTTCTTCTTGCCCCTTGTCCAGAGCCATGATCATTTGTTGAAACTGAGCATTTTGAGTCTGTAGATCCTTAACTGTTTGTTCGAGAGCCATTGCTTTAATGCTGAAATAAACAACGAAGAAGATGAGAAACCTACTATGAAACCTGCTTATGAAATGATATGTATGATATATGTATGCAATGTTTTCAAAGATTTCTAAGACTTAAATTTGCTTAAATATAAAGGGAACAACTTTAATTGCATTAATAAGTTTTATCCGTCACATAATGCCTCTTGGGCTTACAAAGGAAGTAACAAAGAAAAAATAACTCTCTAAGCAAAGAGACTCAAGCTTCCCACCGACGCATCCTCTTTGGTGCAATGTAAGCATTTATACTCTTCTCCTCGTGAAGTAACCTGGTGATTTCTAAAACCTTCTTCTCGCTGGCGTAGAATTGGGTTTCAAAGGTATCCTGTTCTTCTTTAAGTTGGATCCAGGATTTCTATAGCTCCTCAAAATCAGTTGGCATGTCAGGATGAAGAACAATATAAGGAGTGTCTCCCTCAGCAATTGGCTCCATAATCACAGGTAAGATGGTAGGGTAAGGCATCATAAGACATTGAGCACGAGCTCACACCCATTTGAGGTAAGGTTCAAGAGGGATGGAATTCTTGTGCCTCAATGCCTTGCTATCAACTCTGTTTATCATGCCCCAAGCTCGAATGAACCTCTTACGATAACCATGAACGTCATTCTCATAATCAAATGTGATTCCTTGGACGAGTGTGTCGTGAGGGCCATCCCTTCTAGCATAACCAAACTGTCTCAAGGACAAACAAGGGTTATAAGTGAATCCTCCCCTAATGCCTAAGAGAGGGACATTAGGGAATTCCCCACAGAGATCAATGATGGTAACATTCTCCAAGGATCGAGAACACCAATGAATATCCGAATGTGTAAGGGACATCAACCTATGAAACCATCTCATACCCTGCTCATTTCTTAAAGTAGATCGAGATAGGTGCAAAATAAACCACCTAGCCAATAGAGGAGTGCAACACATAAGGGTCCCTCTTCTCTTTAGAGTGCGAGTATACAGAGAGTGTAGAATATCCCCAAGTAAAGTAGGCACCGGATTATGCGATAGAAAAACCTTAACCGCATTCACATCTATGAGTTGGTCCGTGTTAGGGAATAGTACCAGCCCATAGATGAGAAGGGCCAACACTTCTTCAAAATCTTGTAAATATAATGTATACCAAAAATGGTGAGCTTTCTCAAATAAAAACTTAGCTAGAAATCCTTGGACACCTCTTCTGGTTTCCTAATTTACCACTACATCAGACCATTGTAAAGACAGAGCTTGAGAAATCTCTTCGGGTTTTGGGTCTCTTTCCATACCGTTGAAAGGTAACTGATTAAGGATAGGTATCCCCAATAACTGAGAAAACTCCTCCATAGTAGGCACTGACTGGTAATCAGGAAAAGTGAAGCAGTAGTGTAACGGGTCAAAGAACTGAAAGAGCACCTTTAACATTTCTTCATCAGGGTTTGAAGTGACCAAGTTGAGAAGTCGACCATGTTTTTCCAGTGAAGGGAGAGCTTTCAGGAATCCTTGATGCTAATTCCTTGAGTTGAGGAGGTACTTTCACAAGGTTGGCTTGGATAGTGTTCTTGTGAGCGGATGTCATGTCCTACAAAACAAGACAAAGATAAGCCCTAGAAAATCCTTGGAATGGTTAGCATAATATGCCATGTTATGATGTCATGATTATGCTAAGAAATCACAGATATAACAAGCACAAGCAAATCACACAAAGACCTTAGGTTTAAGGCTTTCATGGGCTTTAAGGTAATACCCTCTTGAAGTTTTGATTGGTTCAACCTGTCCTATAAGTAGTAACCGGGTTCTAAGGGATGTCAATATCACTGATCTTTCCCACAAGTTTTGTTCCGATAGGCAACTGACTTGCCACCAAACAAACCTTAGGAGTCAAATCTCAATGAGTGTAGTATCGAGTATCAACCGACTTTGGGAATACACCAAATACGACTATCTCACTACGTCCTAATAGCCAATTTGTTCAATTAAGGTTCTAAGGTCAGTTGATGCTTCATGACACCATGCAGCGGCCCCGTATTCTCCTTGATTAACTTAAGGGCTACTGGTACCCACCAAAGTGTCGCATCAACGTAGATATCGCTTCAACCGTGTCGGTATACCCCACACAGTTTCCACGATCTATTTCTACTTACCTAAAGGTTTCCCCAGATCCGGGTGTAGGATCCTTAATAACCCAAACAAATACCCTTAAAAGTAAAGCAATCAAAACGGACAAAGAAAACAATTTTGAAATGAACTAGACCCTAAGGTAAACCCCACTTTCATTGTTATCCCCAGCAGAGTTTCCAGTTCTATAATAAGGTGGAAGAACCGACAGTTAATACTGGTTTGCGTTTTTTGTTTGCAAATGTCGCGGTAAGCAAGAGTCGCCAAAAAGAAGTGTTATGGGCTCAAGCAAACAATTCACGTCTAAGACCCATGGGAAAACATCATATCCACCACCACAATCCAAGTCCATACTTCATATTTTTTTTAATATCAAATGATGTTATTAACACGAAAAATGGAAAAAAAAAATCAAAGTAAAAGGAATGGAACACAATGTATGCCTCTTCAGATATTCTCAAAAGTGCAACCCTAACCTCCTTCTACCTTGCTCCAGTCCATCATAGGCATCAATCTCACCTCCTCACATGTCTGTAAAACACGCGGCCTCCACCTTATCTCTTTCGCCTCCACCTTTTAACCTTCTACCTTCGCTAACATTTCACTCCCTCCATCTACATTGATTCCTTGTTTCTCCTTTCTCCTAACAAAATTGCTTAACCGATAAATGAAGAACAAAGAAAACATACCTTTCCTGCCTTTGATTCACAATCGAGATTCTTATCTTTCAATCCACACAGATAAGATGAAGGAGATAAAGAAATTGAAAGGATACGAAGCTTACCTGCCGGTGAGGCTGAGAATCTGAAGGCCTGGGGTATCACATCTTCGACTCGATCCTTGTTTCCTTCTTCTTCAATTTCTTCTACCTCCGAATTCTCTGCTTCTTTGAATCATTGTTATGACGCATTAATGTTGCGATGAATTTGTCATTGTCGATGCAGGATCTAACATGATGAATATCGAATGATGGTGATGCTGAAGAAGCTTGAAGGTTGAAGAGAACCTTGAAGATGAAGAAGATGAAGATTCTTGAAGGATTATGCAGAGAGAGAGGAGAGATTAAAGATGAAGGTTATCCAGAATCCAAGATTGGCGAAGTAGATGGAGATGCTTTTAGAATTGTGCAGCCAGAGAAGAGATTTTCTGGTGAGTTCTTCTGTAATTTCTTCTTGAATCCATCGTATCCCCTCTTCCTCTCTCTCTGTTACCAATTATATTTTTGGCTCCCCCAATTTCTGTTGTATATCTATTAGGAAGTTGGTTCCCAGTTTGTTATAGTTGGTTATGGCAGTTAGAGGGTTGGTTAGGAGTGAATTGATTTGAACCCTTGGATCTAGATTTCTGTTAGGGAATATAAGGGTATAGATTAGGCGGTTAGAGAGGTTTAGAAATCTGTTATGAAAATGAGAAAGTTAGTTTTCTATTATGGTTGTTATAAGTGAGCTGGCACGATTTTGAGGAATGAATGGCAAGGTTGAAGGCAATTATGGATTGGAGAATCGGTTATAGTGAGATAGATTCAGTTAGTAATCTGTTCAAAGTCATTGGTTCTGAAACTTCTGTTAGTATTAGGAACTATTATGCTGTTAGAAATTCCGCTTGGTCACTAGATCTTCTTTGAGTTTTCTGGTTTCTGTTAACAGTTTTGGACATCTTTTTGAATTATCTAGTTTTGGAAGCATGAACTATTTCAAAGTATTTTTATATTTTTGGTAGCGAAACTAATATGATTTTATGTATAGATGTAGGGTTGCATTTGATTAATTGGAAGGCCTAGTCTTGAACACGGGAACAAACGGTTTTTTAGAAGCTTGAAGAGGAAATTTTGAAGATACAAAATTATGGAGTTATGGCAAGGATTTAAAGGATATTGAAACATAAAGGTTTTGGATAGAAGATTAGGTTAGAGAAATAAGTTTCCTGGTAGGTTTTATGTAAATATGTAGGGATGGTGACGAAGTGTAAAATCACATGTATTAAAATGTAACATTGGAATTTTGTAATGTTTGGAGGACCCCCTGATAATTCCCTCCAGTATTCACAGTATTACCTTCCAAATTGCCTTTGTAATCAACCTTTGACCAAACATGAACTTAAGAACCTTTGATGTCATCTAAACACATCTAGGAATTTTGGATGAATTGACACCGTAGCTTGCATTTTTAATGAAATTGGATGATGTTTTAAAATCAAAACTTGAATTTAAATGATATTTCTCTTGAAATAATCCAAGTAAAACTCCATGATAAAAATTCAAATTCCTTGAAAGAATTCCATTGCAAATGACTTATATCATAATCCATGAAACAAGCCCAATCTTTAATTGATGACCATGAACCAAATGGTCCCTAATATCACCCTCTGTCCTTTATGAGAGAATGGATCCAATACCTTGATCCCCAATAATCTTGTGTGGCAAACAATAAGAGAACCAACCCGACTTGATCTTAATGAATTCATAATTCCATCCTCATATCACACTTGGTTATCCAATGAACGCCTATTGAAAACATTGATAAACCCAAGTATGATAGGATATAAACCCTAATCTTCCTTTGAATGGGAGGGATCCCCTTGAAGCCACATAAATCCTAATTCCACACCTTCACTAATATAAGGAAAATCAGGAACATCAAGCTTTATTTGATATGAACTCCTCAAAAGAATGTGAAAACCCTACTTGCACAATCACTGATCTTTTGAACCTCAAATACTTTATTGAACGTGAGTATATGCTATGTTAGTGACCTAATGGAATGTATGAAGATGAATGCTAAAGCCTAAGCCAAATAAAAGAAATTAGAAGGGCAAATTTTGGAGTACAATAATAAAAATAGTTGATAGATAACTGTAAACTGGAAAACAATCAAGAAGTTGAAGAGATAAAATGGGATTGATTACAACGAATCTCCCAAACTCCTATCACGCCATATAGTTGCTCTTTAATCAACAAAATATTAGCTGAAAATCCAGATCCACACTTTATCATTCGGCAAGTCTCACCATAAGAAGATAAAAATGGTTCAATCTTCTAGACTTCTTGAAAAGAAATGAATCATAGAGCAAGTAATAAAAGGAAGGATCTACATGATTGATGAACTTGCAATAAAGAACAGATGGTGATCCTTGTATCTTAAGGAGAAAAACCTAGCACGATAAACTTCTGTTGAAGATCTAATACCAAGCTCCGGTATAACATAGAAAAAAAACGTAATCCTCTAGCTGAGTTAAACCCTAATGCCCTTTTTCCTTGAAGAAACTATGACGAAGTAAACCTTGTATTCTTAAGGAATATTTTCAAGGAAAGTATCCACGATGCTTGTAAACCAAAACCCTAATCTCATACTGAGAATGATAAGAGCACCAGTTAAATAAACTTTGAGTAAGATAGTAGCCTTAATTCATATAGAGGAACCCTAATGCCAAAGCTCTTTGATCTTATAACCATGATACCAATGCTATGTGCAAAACGTACAAAGTATGATGAGGGATCTTAGGGGAAACAATTGGGGTATAACAATAGTCTAGGTTTAAATTGTACACTTTATTTTCTTGCATTTTTTTATGTAACTGTCCCAAAGCATTGTAAGAGCGTAGGATTTATAATTCCCACACTTTAAATTTTTGTAAAATATTAATTGTTAGTAACTAGGCTTGTATGGAAAGACTGATAACAAAACACTAGCAAACCTAATAACAAGAGATAAATGAGCTGGATTAAATCATTGCACACATTCACCTCTAAGGTACGCCTACTTTGGTTGCCTTAGGAAATAAAACAGTCATGTCCCTCGAGACAGGGACGCTTTAGCAAAGACCCGTAAATCAAAAAGATCATAGTCCCTCCATGACCCTATAGTTGCCTTTCGGTAAATGATTGAGTCCCTAAACAAAATTACTAAAGCGTCTCCACATGTTGCCTTTATGATTGTACGTCCCTTCGATTGTCCCTCAACATCCAACGATAGGGCTACCTACTCACTAATAGCAGGATAGCACTGTCTAAAGGATAGGAGGAAAAGAACAACCTTTTCGAGTACAAGTAGATAGGCTTCCTTAGTGTCATTAAGCGCTAACTGACCTTTAGAACCTTTAATTGGCTCATCCTAAGCCATTAGAAAGTAGTGAGATGGCCAACTTTGGTTCCGACCGAAGATTGGTTGATACTCGATGCTACACTCATTGAGATTGGACTTTTGGGATATTTTGGCCGCAATACTTTGGTGCTTGAGCTAGAATGATACCTAAAATAAAGGCCAATGATATGAGACTCCTTAGAACCCGATTAATATTAATAGGACAGGTTGAGCCAACTGAAACTTTAAGAGGGTACTTACCTTTAAAACTCATTCAAGCCTTTAAACCTAAGGTCTCTGTGTGACTTGTTTGTGTTTGATATACTTGTAATTTCAAAACATAATCATAACATCATAAACATCATAACATGTCATGTACACTAACCATTTCAAGGGCCTGTGAATTTATCTCTTCTCTGTTTTGTAGGTTATGGATTCAGCTCACAGAAAAACCATTCAAATCAATTTTGTAGAGATTCCCCCCAAACTCAAAGAAATGGTTTCAAAAGTTCCTGAAAGCTCATCATTCAACAAGAGATATGGTCATTTGCTCAGTTTGGTTACTACCTGTTTTGACGAGGGTTTGATGAGTGTCTTATTCCAATTCTTCGACCCTGAGCACCACTGTTTCATATTTCCAGACTATCAGTTGGTGCCTATACTAGATGAATTCTCCAAAATACTTGGTTTGCCTATACTGGAGCAGACACCCTTTACCGGTTTAGAGTAGAATCCAACTACTGAAGATGTTGCCATAGCTTTGCACTTGAAGTCCTCTGATATTGAGTCCAATTGGAAAAAAAGGAGTGGAGTTAAGGGCCTCCTCACAAGTTTTCTGATGAAGAAAGCCCAGGTATTCTTAGACGCTATGAGTTACCATGCCTTTGAATATGTTTTAGCTCTTTTGATCTACGAGTTGGTTTTGTTCCCCAATTCAGACCAGTTTGTAGATGTCAGTGCCATTAACATTTTCCTTGCTCACAATCCGGTGCCTACATTGCTCGGGGATATTCTGCATTCACTCCATACCCGTACCATGAAGAAGCGAGGGACTCTTATATGTTGTATATCTCTACTCTATAGGTGGTTTATTTCTCACATTCCTCGGCCAGTAATAAAGAATGAGTTAGGTTTAAGATGGAACCAAAGATTCATGTCTCTTTCTCACTATGACATCTATTGGTGCCCTTGCTCCCAAGAAGACATCTCTTTTATTGATCACTGTGGAGAATTTACGAATGTGCCACTCCTTGGAATTAAAGGAGGCATCACCTACAACCCCTATTTAGCTTTACGCCAGTTCAATTACGCTCTGAGGGGTGGTCCTCATGATATGCTCATTCAAGGTATTATGTTCGACTATTTAAATGATCTGCAAGGTTATCACCAAAGGTTCATCCGCACTTGGGGAATGGTTAAGAAGACTGATAGAAGGACTCTAGGGCACAAGAGCTCCATCCCTTTGGATCCGTACCTCAAATGGGTGCGAGCTCGTGCTCAAAATCTTATGATGTCGTATGATGTTATCCTACTAGTGATTTTAGAGCCTATTGTTCAAGGGGTCGAGTCTCGCATCATTCTGCATCCTGATATGCCAACAAACTTCGAAGAATTGAAAAACTCTTGGATACAACTCAAAGAAGAACGAGATACATTTGAGTCCCAATTCTATGTCAGTGAGAAAAAGGTGTTGGAACTGACAAAACGGCTTGACGAAGAGCAGAATCTTAATGCCTACATTAGCACAAAAAGGAAACTTCCATGGGAGACTGTGATCGATGGGAATAGAACTGACTGTTTTTAATGCTGGTTCGCGAAATGTCGCGGTAAGCAAGAGTCACCACCGTCTTTTATGTTCTCCAACATGGAAAGGACAAAAGCACAGCAAAATTCCTTCTTTGAGAATGTTCTCGGTTCGGGGGGTAGATTTATAGAAAGGGAAGGTGTTAGCACCCTTTCTATCCATGGTTATCCATGGGCTCTTAGGTACTTGCTCTTATGTTTTCAAAAGATATTTGCTTTTCAAATGCGAGTGAGTTTTGAAAAAGTTTCGTTTGAAAGATTTCTAAGTAACTCTTGTATCTGTCCTCAAGAGTGTATGCAAAATTTGTTTTGAAATTTTTTGAAAGTGTCAGTGTGAAAAGTATTTTGTTTGTTTTTGAAAAGAGACAGTACCCATGAGATCTACCTACTCTAAGGAATTAGGCTGTGTAAGAGTCCTTTAAACAGTGCTATCCCACTATTGAGAAGTAGGTAGCACCGTCGTTGGAGGTATTCAGGTCAATTCGATTAAGGGACAGTGTGGTCACTGAAGCAATAGTAGGACACCTTAGCGGTAACCCTAATGTCCTAGATCCTTTTTATCTGAGGCAACCGTTTCGAGGAAACTGGATCTTAGACAGGAGGGTGACCTCTAAAACACCTTATACTTGACGACCACATTCAAGGCAACGAGTGAGGCGTACCCTAGGAGTGGCATGTGCTTGTGTGTTTTCTTCAGTTAAGGTTTATCTTTGATCATGCATTTGTAAGCTACGGGTTGCTT